CGCGGCCCTGCATCGGCAGCCCTTGGGCAACCCCTAAAGTGCGTAGGTGCCCGGGGCACCCCGGGGTGCCCTGCACAGCACCAAGGCCTCTGGGACCAGCACCATCCTGCCAAGGTGCTGCTGAACATTCCTACCCACCCACAAGGGCTGCGAGCGGTGCTAACCACTGTGCCTAGTAATAAAACACCAGCAGAACCCAACCCCTTTTTTTTTTTTTATTTCCCCTAGCAAAACTACCTGAGAGCTGCTCTTTCCTGCCCCAATTCACGCAGTTTGGGTTCCTACTGGCTACGCACAAGGCGGAAACATTTTCTCTTTCCAGTCCTGAAGGAATTTGCTAAATAAGCCATAAAACAAAAAAAAACAAAACACAACAAAACAACAAACAAAATGAAACCCTTACATTTATAGATATTTCAGGTGGGAAAAAAGACCATTATTCGGATTAAAAGAAAAAGCAGCCTGCCAGCATGGACACACGGGTCGCCGGCCGCCTCCGCAGGCCGCCGCGCTGGCTTTGAGGTCGCCTCGCTGCAAGCTTGGCCTCTCATGGGTCACCTTGCTCGGGTGGATGCCTTAGCTTTTCTTAGTCACACCAGGCATCAAGCCTCACTCTAGGAGCAGCCTGAAAGGCCTCTCGTCCACTTCCTTCGAGGGTCTCGGTGGCCGCGCGTGCCCACAAGCAGGAAGCCCCGCACGGTGTCCTGCGCCCCGCTGCTCTCGCCGCTAACTTCCCCTCCACGTGGCAGTTGGCCCTGCTGCGCAGACAGCAGCCCTAGTTGTGGAAGGACAGCATGAAAGAAGCTGAGGCTTTCACAAAGTTTTCTTGCTTCCATGTGGACGGAAGAGTGGGGCAATTACCACGGACTATTACTATCCACCAGTGCTGTGAAAACGGAACCACTTCAGCTTATAAGAAACAGTTAAAAAACCTCAAACGAACGGAAAACCTCTTCTCCTTGATGCAGCCCCAACCTCCCTAACGGGTAATTCGCTTCCTCTCCAGGAAGCTGAATATCCTAAACCAGCTGCTTTGCAAAACGCTCCTGCAACAAAAGCAAAAAGGCACAAAGCTGATGTCAAGTAATGCTACTCCCATTTCTGAAATAGATTTTTGGGGGATATTTTTTCTACATCTGTTCAATTCCCAACATTTTTGCTCTCTACAAGTACTTACAAAAACAACTACTCTTTGTGTGCAAAGCTGCAGGTTTGCTTGACCTTTGAAAGAAGATTTCTACAGAAAGCTTCGTATGTTTAAAAAGAGATAACTGTTCCCATTTTTCACAGACCAGTTTTGCAGAAGAATTAAAAATTGCCACTCAATTAAAATTAGTATCTTTGCTGCTCAGACATAAAGATAACTGGATACAGTAAAGACATGTTGCAGCCTGCAGTCTGAAACTTAGTTTCAGCACCAGAACACTGACCAGGATAAAGCAGATCCTGGCAGGGACCTCCTGCCAAAACTGAACTTGGTTAAGGAGCTTGACGGCTTCGCCTCTTGCCTCCTCACCTGGCTTCAGTCATGATGTCGACAGTTAAATCTTCAACGCAGAAAATGCAGATGCTTCTGCAGGAGTCCAAAACACCCCTTCTGAAGGTTTCCCCCGAGCCCAATCCGCCCACAGCAGGAGCACAAGCTCCCCATTGCTCCCGGCTTGGCAGCTCAACACTGCACTCCAATTGCCTCCTCCTTGGAAAAGGAAAACAAAAATTCAAACTCCTAAAACATGGTATCTTGCCTAAAGGTCAAGTCCAGATCTTGAACCAAGAAAGAATCTCAAACGTGATATCAGGAAACGCTCTTGCAGCCGGGAGCCAGGAGCTGGACCCGCGCGGACCTTCTTCACGCACCGCGAAGGGCGAGATGAACGAAAGTGCAGCCCGTTTATGACTTGTGGAACCTGACCCGTGAACCCTGAACCGCAGCCTTTGGCAAGGCCAAGGAAGGATACACCGTGCCCTTCTGGCTTTTAAACCAAGCACCTGCCCCTTGCCCCCTGTGCACGAACTTCCAGCGCTTCCAGAGCCGAACAAAAACCGCCGCTTTGTTCCCGGGGCCAGAAGCAAACATGGCAAATCTGGTAGCAACAACTGGAATTGCTGTTTCACTGGCTTGTTTTGCCATCGCAGATCAACACAAGGAGAAATTCACACAGTGCTTTTGGTGAGGCAAGGAAACCCTTTTAAAGGGTATAAACAGGGTAGCCAAGGCTACACTTTGTTAATTCTCTCTTGGTGCAAAGCAAAATAAAGAAACCATAAATGGAAAAAAAAAAAAAAAAAAGATGGGGGGGGGGTTTGGGGAAAAAAATGAAAATTAACCTCCTTTGTATATAATAAATGGAAAATATAGGATTGATGAGAAGAACGGTAACCTAAATGTTCTGCATTCATTAGGCGAGACCAAATGACCGTGCTAAATATGTTTTTAAAGATTTTCTTTCTTAATGCAGAACTAAAATATTTTTTCTAGCTTACTAGGTTCAACTACCTAGTTCCTTTTGTCAGTTAAAAGCTCTTTTAAATCTATTTATCTTGCCCAAACCTCTTTCTAAGTATTTAGCTGTTCCTATATGCTATGCAATGACTGTGCTTTAAACTGGTGGCCTTCAAAAAGCTTTGCTGAGCTGAACCAAGCTTGAAGATGGCAACACCAGCTTGAAAGTAGAGATTTTTGTGGGCATCAACCTGAAACGCTGCTGTTTCAGGGAAAGTAGGAGGGCAAAATAAATGTTTGATTCACATCTTTTAGGTCAAAGAGGTTCCACTGATGTCTCATGCCAGTAAATAAAAAGGAGCTATTCCCTAACATTTATGGAACTCTCACATGAAAATAAAGCTAAATCTCCACTAAGCATCAAGAAGTGTATATGCTTGGATGCCACAGCTCTAAAAATGCTTTAGGATTTGCAAGCACTCTCTCTCAAACCTGCCTCACTGCTTCTTGGCTCTGCAGAAAAGTCATTTCCCTTTAAAGCTTCATAGTCTGATTTGGTAAATGGAGGTAATGGGAGGGTCACTGTTGGTGCTGCGGCTCTCCTAAAGAAACAAAAAGAAAGAACAGCTTTAAAAGCATCTTTGTTTACGGGTTGGAGGGAAAAGATAAAACATGGCATGTTAAGAGGATGAATGCATCCAACTTTGTGTGTGCACAATTTTTTAACATCTTCTCACAACAAATTTGGAAAAACGCCTTAAAGGGAAGGGGAGGAAAGTTGAAAGGGAAGACTTTTCTTTGGGGAAGAAAGAAAAGAGCTGTTTGGTTTCTGTGTGTGAATGCACAGTGAGTCACGGCGCAGTTATCCACTGTGGATTAATTCACCCCGCAGCGAATCTGTTCGTCTATTCAGGCTGGAAGGCTTAACTTGTCACTGTTGCCATGAACAGAAGCTGTCAATAATGCACTCACAGCTGCAGGTGACACAAGCCTTAGAAATTCAATTAGCCAAAAAGCATGTGGTAGAAGAAAACACTTTCCTAAACAATGTCAAGAAAGACCATAGCAAAAAACCCAGAATTTGGCATGTATTTGTTTTTTCTTTCATGTTTGGTTTTTAAGCTTTTTTAAAAACTAGTTTTAAAACCAGAAAACCCATTTAGTTTTTAAGACGGCTGATGAAGAGGCTGAGATCCTGCATTGCTTTTCCTCGGCCCCAGGAGTAAAATATCTGGTCAAACAAATACAGGGGAACCCAGGCTGCAACTGCACTTGCTGTTTTAAGACACAACGGGCAATGTCACATCCACCTTGAAGCAACTGCAGTCCCTCAGCACGAAAGCATTTCTCCAACTTCTCAACAAAGTCATTTTTCCAGTTTCCTGCCATTTTGCACCAGAAATTGCCTTAAGCCATTTGCAACTGATCCAAAACATCCTACAACACCCTTTTCTGTGAAAACCAGCCCACACCCATCCTCTCCCTTTTTATTACAAAGGCAAAGCACACTTGGGAAAGCATCTCTGGAGCTTGACTTGCAATTGGGTGCTGGAATACTCTTGGAGCTACAGGATGGCAAAACTCCTGGACACACCTAGCAAGCAAAAGCACTGAAAACAGGGGGTTTTATACAGCCAACATGAAAAAAGAGTATTTGTGGAACCAAACCCACATGCATTCACACTGTTTAATCTGCATATCCTGCACTCAACCTGCTGCAACCAACTCAATCTTCTCCATCTGGAGAAGTGCAATCCGCAAAAACAACCAAAAGGGCAGAGTGAACAACCCTGAAAACTGCACGTTTTCTACATCCCAAGAAGTTACTCATTTTAAAAGACAGGACAGATGAAAAAGCAAGTGTTTGTTTCTCACAGAAATAACAACAAAGATGAAGAACAGGTTGCTCTGGCATAAATAGAAATAACAAAAGGTTCACACGTGAAACAGATTTGTGTCTCCGGCCCAAATGCCATCTTTTCCCTGCAACAACCAGAGCTTTTCATTCCGCATCCCCCAAAATATCCCCCTCTCTCTCTTTTCCTCCACACAGAGAGGCAAATGCTGTTCAGCCACTTAGCACAGAGTTCCTCAAAATTCAACCAACAAGGTGACCACAGAAATCACTGCAAAGCCACCTGTCTGAATAACCCATGGGACTGTGGACCCCTCTTCCCACAAGCTCTCAGACTTAATACTGCCATCCTCATTGTACCTGCTCCAGAAGCACCATCCCATGCCCTTCTCAGCACACTGCTCCTCCCCTTCAACATGGTCACACATGAAAAAAGCTATAGGAAAAGCAGTGTCTCTAATCACAAATCCTGCTGCAACATCACTGAAAAATCCACAGGATCGTCACGAATGTTGCCATTTTCAAGATGCAAAGAGATCTCACCCAGGTAGGCAGAAGTCAACCTCAAACTGCAGCATCTACACAAGGCAATAAGGTGTCAACAACTGCCAGTGCTTCTGCTGGCCTCTGTCTTCTAAATGTCAGCTCTCCTACAGCCGAACTTGGACTGTTGGTGACAAGTCCCCCAGCAATTTCACTCACCTCAATGGGCTCAGATGGGATTTTCAGTTTGGATAATTTGGCCTTGGCATTCGCCTTCAGGTCCGAGATTTTTTCATAGGGTTCTCCATGGAATTCCTCCGCAAGAGGCTTGAGCTCCGGTGATTCAACTGGTGCCTGATCTTGGCCATCCATTGGTCTGACATAAGCAGTAGGTTTCTGCTGCATTGCACTGGTTTTTGATGGCAAAGATGGGGGAAAGGTCTGAGATGAAGGCTGAGTGGCACCAGTCAAGTTAACGGCTGAACTGTCCCGGCTTTCATTCTCCTGGGCCCCTGCCACCTGCTCCTGAGGTGATTTTGTTTGACTGTAGGACGGCCCGTGACTTTTGTTGCTCTTCTGTGACCTGGAATTGATACGCTGGCTGGAATGTAGAGGAGACAGGGGTGCGACCGGAGAAGACAAAGATGACAACAACGGAGAAAGCTCCAAAAGGGAGGCCTGCAGTTCATCGGAACGACCTTCGCCAACGACACGCCGGTCATTTCTCTTGTGGTGAGAACCGGCGTGACTTTCCTGGCCACCACGCCTGTGTTCTTGACCTTGGCTTCGACTGCTGGATAAGCTGGGAGTTTTGGTGTGCAAACCTGACGCTGGCTGCGTCCTTGATTGTGTCTTTTGGTAGTGAATGAGGTTGCTTGGAGGGGGAGGAGCTACAGCGGGAGGTCCCATGGGCTGGTGGCGGGCTGTGTGCTGGAATGGAGGTGCTAACATATGGCTGGTCTTTTCATGGAAGCATGGGCGATCGGGCCTTCCTTGGGGGATCAGAGGAACAACACTTTTTGGTACCCCGATCAGATCCTGATGGGATTTGGTGCTGATGAGCTCCTTGACCTCCTCATAATTGCCCAGCATGTTCTGAATACGGCTTGACAACTCATCCTCTTTATTAGTCTGGAACAAAACAGAGGGGAACATTAAAAAAAAAAAAAGAAAAGAATATGAAAGACAAGCTTAAGAAGAGAGGCCCTGCAGGATCTCATTTTAATAAATCATGCTTCACCACAACGCAAGCTCATCTTGCTCCTGCAGGCAGCCTCCCCAAAGTGAAGGCGACCACTCTCGTCAGGGTTAATTCTGAGCGAAGGTTGCAGTTGCACCTGCAGCCTGCCCCATCACTGGCATCACAGCACTTTGCTACGCCTGTGGCTCCAGACGGACAGGCTCACTGCTCACGAGCAGCCTCCTGCAATCTCCCACAGCACGGGAGGCTGCCTAATCAATCTGCCTGACCTGAAGTCAGCACTGTGCTTGCTCCGTCTACGGAGCTTTCAACCCACACTCTCAGGATTTCAGCTGAAGCCCATGGGACAACGCTGTATTGCTGCGCGTTCTGCTGAAGGCCATCGATGCCACAGCTCTTTCAGACAGTTTTTCCTCCTCGCCTCCCTCTGACCTCCAGCCCTCCACCATTACCTTGTAAGGTTCGGCAAAGAGGGGGGCGTTTTCTGGGAACGTGTCTCTCTCCTGCAGAGCCTCCTGATTCCGTCTCTCTCGCTCACGAATTCGGAGCAAGTTTCTATCCTCATTGTACAAGCTTTAAAAAAGAAACAATGAAAGGATGGTTATTATTTCACCCAAACACTCTAAACGAATAGCACTGTTGTGCAGAAACTGCTTTTGCAGACAAGGGTGTGTGTCCAGCAACTTAGTCATTCTGTAAACCCCGGGCTGCTTCGAGCTGACAAATGAGCCATGGCAAGTTTCTGCCAGGCTGCGAAATAATGCAACACGCAGCAAGCACCTTCACAGGCACATCCTGGCTCGCTTGTACTCCTGATGCCACCCTGAAAGGAGGGTGGAAAAGGGAAAACGATCTGCCCATTTACTGGCAAGGCACAAGCTGGGAAGAAGTCAGCACAGTTAATAAGTATTCAGGCTGTAAAATCCAATTGACATGATAGATGTGGAAACTACTGTCCTCATCCCCATCCTAATTTTTACCCTGACACTTCACAAGGGAGCGAAAATAACAAACAGAAGGGAATAAACCCCCAACACCAACACTCCCACCCAGTGTTTTCAAGCAGCTGTCAAAGCCTGCAGTCTTGCATGTGACACTCTCCCTGCTTTAGAAACAGCCTTGAAAGCTGAAACACTGAAATGGAAGTTTGGAAAGCTGTTTACTTGGGAAACCACGCAGTGGTGCATTTAGGGCAATCACATAAATGTGTTTCAAGAGAAACACCAGCTCTGGGGAACACCAGCCCGAGTCCCTCAACTCCATCAGCTGAACGTCAAGCCAGCAATAAAGCTGGGTCACACGAGCAGCAGGGAGGCTCAGTGGAAAACCAGACCCTGCGAAATAAGGGCTCCTCCATGAGATGCTACTGCAAAACGAGGGAACCCAGTGCTTGACTCTTTTGGAAAATTTCAGAGGAGGTATGCATAGGCATTCCTCTCCTGATTCTCCTCTGCCGTGTGGGCCACCACATACCTGTGCTTGCTATGGGCCGCGTTGCACTTTGGTCAGCGTCTGCAGGGCCCCGTTTTGGAGGGGGAGAGGGAGAGGAGCCCGGTCTTTCCCACCACTTTACTTTCCAAGCTGTCACACAAACCACCATCTACCAACACGTCTCATGCCTCCTAAAGGAGCGACAGAGGACTGACTTTGTCACCGCAGCTAACCCAGGGACCTGCCTGCCACCGAGGGCCGCTGACCCAAGGGGAGTTTCTGAACACGCTGCTCTTGGCCAGCAAAGGCTGCAGCAGGGATGGATGCACTCGTGTCGCTAAGAGAGAAAAAACACACCCCGGGGTCAAACTATGCACATTTGGAA